GCTTCTACTGTGATAATTATGTGAAATTAAATTAATTGTCTAATATAAAAAAATAGTTTGGTGCTGTCGGGCTCAGAGTCTGAGAGGCTTTTCATCTATCAAATTATTCTTTATTTTTTTGCCTCATTTAGTGGAAATATTGATGAGACTTTCTCCAAAATTATAACCTTTTTCAACCTTTATAGCTCCACTGTTGAAAATGAGGCTCTAACATTCACAAATGACAGTGAAATAAAATCCAGTCCAACATCTGGTTTGAGGTGATTCCTCTGCAACCTGTTGGAGAAAAAACATCCCAACTTCAGAAGATGAGCTTTAACCTATCAGAGCTCTGTGGTTCCTCCTGTCAGTGTGAGAGTCAGGATGAGGAGGCGCCATGTTAGGAAGACAAAGTGGAAGCTGCAGGATCTTCAGAACAAACAGGTCATGATGCTGCTAGGCCTACTGATTATCCCTCTGTCTGGACACAGGATCAATATATTGATCCTGTGTACCAGAACCAGTTTAAAAGATAAAATGAATGGTTATATGCCAGACATGGAAAACTGGGATGCTCTCCATGCCATGATGTTCAGAGTTTAGGTCTCCTGGCATCTCAAGGTTAAACATTGCAGCNAGTGGGCTGAAGGAGGAAATACAGCTTTATATTGTAGCAATTCAAGAGCTACCAGCTTTTATCACTTCACAAAAAAATTTATCAGCACAGAAACTCCAGAGCACAACAAAGAAGCTATATATATATATATATATATATATATATATATATATATTTGGTCATCGTACCCCCAAGAATTTAAAACGACTTTCACCCCTGACTTTATGACGCATTTAGCTTTAAGGGAATAAAACCTGAAAAACACAAATACTTCTGCATATAAAAGTGAAAGTATTTAAGAACAAAAACATTTTCAACATGTTGAGTTTATTCAGTAAAAAGTTGTTTATATTCAGAGGTTATTAATGCAGAAGAGAAAAACATCAGTTTGGACGATAATCATGAGTGAAACAGCTGCTAACATGTTATGCTGTTAAGCTTTAAGGTCAGAGGTCAGAGCGATAGGCACTAGGTGATGCTGGTGATCCTCAGGCGTTTCCATGGAGACCATCAGGGCTGCTTCTGCTGCATCTCCCTCCAGCTCTTCCACAGCAGCAGGTCACGGCTCTTCCCCAGGGCGACCAGCCAGCGGGGCAGCCGGACACCGTTGAACTGGCCCACGCCGTCGTCTCGGCCCATCGCCAGCAGCATGGAGACGTAACCTAGCAACCGCCACAGGGTCAGCGAGGGTCAGGCAACTCGCCACCCGTCTGCCTCAGGGGGAGCCTACCTGTGCGATACGGCGTCAGCGGCTTCCCGCTCAGGCTGCTGATGATGTTGGACACGGCGATGTAGGCGTGGAGGCCGGCGTGGTACGCCAGCTTCGCCTCACGCAGGTCGGCGCAGTCGCCAACGGCGAAGATATTGGAGAAACCCTCGACCTGCAGGTACTGGTTGACCTTCAGCGCCCCATCAGCAGCCATGCTGCCCGCTGAACGAACACACAGTAACAGGCTATTAACTGATCAATATCCAATCAATGAGAGATCCATATCTGGTCAATAACAGATGGGACCATCAGCTGATAGGAGGTCCCAGAGACTAAAAGCTGCAAAATCCCTGCAGGCTGAAGCTAAGCTAGCAGCTGTTCCTGTAGCGAAGCTGATCATGTTTGTAAAGTTAAAGCCAAAATGAACAGCAGAAATTTGGCTCATTTAGTCGGTTATAATACAGAGTCATATTTACATATGTTCTTAATTCAGTTATAAATTTCTGTTTCACACCAAATGTTTAGCTTAGTGTGCAACTAGCTAGCATCACACTAAGCTAAATATTTGCCTTGCTAGCTAAACATTTAACTTGGCATTTAACTATTTAGCTTATTGTGTAGCTAAATATTTAGCCACACACTGATATCTATAAATGAAAGTACAATATGGCGTAAATATAAATATGTTTCTTCTCATCACAGTTAAATCTCCCAAATTCTTTTGTACAGCAGATTCTGGTGGCAGCGAGCAGCAGGCGCCCCCCGGCGGACCCACCCAGGCTGGAGGCGTAGGCTCCAGAGTTGATCCTGGTGCCAGTGCAGCAGATGATCAGGTCCGTCTCCAGAGTCTCCCCCTTGTCCGTTCTGACCTGCAGGTTCTTCTGGGTCCGGTTCAGTGGCAGCTCCGACAAGTTGGACACCTTCTGACCTGAAACACAGCAGCAGGTTGCCGGGAGCCGGACAGAACCAGCTAACAACTAGCAGCTAACGGCTAGCGGCTAGCGTACCCAGAACCAGCTCCACTCCCTTCTCCAGAAGAACCTCCTTGGCCTGCTGCCTGACGCTCTGGACCAGCTGCGGGTCGGCCAGCCCGATCCTGGAGTGGATCAGAACCACCTGGAGGAGAAACAGAGGTGAGGACGGAGTCCAGAGCCCCAGGTTCTGGAGGTTCCGGAGGTCCAGACCAACTGGGTTCATCTACAGTAGAGGTTCCCCAGCTTTTCAAAATAAAAGCATCAGAGACGAGTTTTCTCTATTTAAATGTTTAGATCAGGGGAGATCAAGTCCAACAGGCCAGGATCGGATTGGACCAGGTAACCAAACGTTCACCTGCCTCAGCAGGAAGCAGGACGCTGATACAGAGTCACATAATTCTTAATATTTTAAATAAATTTATTTATCAGAAATGATAAAAATATTTGCTAATTAACTTAATGGCAGATTTATGCATTTCTGTCCCTTCTGGGCCTCCGTACCCCTCAGGCGTCACTTTCATTCTGCAAATCATTTTGTGACCCAACCTTGGAGTCTCCTGACCCCCAAGGGGTCCCGACCCCCCAGGTTGGGAACCCCTGCTGTACAGGAACCACCCAGCAGCAGAACTCTAGGTGACTCGGTTCTGATCCGGTTCATGGAATCAAAGAAAACAGCCCAGAACTCAATCCGGACCCACAGAACCTTCAGGACCGGTGTGAACCAAATAACTGTGAACCCGTTTCAGCAGGGCCTACAGAACCAGAACCTTTCATACAGACTGAAGGGTAAAGTTCTGTTGAGTACTGCTGAACCCGACCAGAACCCGACCCACCTTCTTATCTGGATACTCCGTCTTGATCTCAGCCGCCATCTCCACCCCTGTAGCTCCGCCCCCGACCACCAGAACCGAGTCCGCCGCCTGGATCTGGACACACACAGAGAACCAGGGTCAGCAGCGTCCTGTCCCACTATTTGCCTCTGTCCCCCTCCCCCCGTCTCACCTGTCCCACCATGTCCTCGTACGCCGTCATGCCGTCCTGCAGCGACGCCTCGGTGTTGAACTTCCCAGGGAACGGACCATCAGAACCAGTACACAGGATCAGGTGGGAGTACTGGACCTCCTGCGGTAGGGGGACACCTGTCAGAGCTCACCTGGCCGGCAGGGGGCAGCAGCCGCTCTCACCCCACCGCCCCTCCTCACCCTGCCTCCCTGGAGAACCACCAGCTGCCTCTCCGGGTCCACGCGCTCCACGCGGCCCTGCAGGAAGCTGGTTCCGAACGTCTCCACATACGGGATGAAGGTCCGCTGGGCGAAGCCTGGGGTCAGAGGTCAGGGGTCAGAGGTCAGGGAGTACAGTGGGGCCAGCGACAGGTCGGAGGGGTCGGTACCGGGCTGGACCGAGGCCCGCAGCGCCGCCACGTTGTGGTGGAAGGAGTCCCGGAGGTCCAGCAGGGTGAAGTCGAACCCGGCCGAACGGAGCTGCTGCGCCGCCGCGATGCCGCCGAACCCGCCGCCAACCACCACCACGTGGACCCCGTCCGGAACCGAGACCTGGGCCCCCATCTGGAGAGAAACACACACACTGCTCGGTGACTTACACCCAAACACTTCAGCACCGAACCACCGACCGAACCTCAGAATCTTGTGCATAAATCTGTGCAGAGCTCTCCTCTAATTGGACCCGGTTCTGGCTGTAGGTGGATCGGAACTAACCCTCAGATCCTACCTGTGAGAAGCTAACTGATCCTGACTGGACCGGTTCCGTTCGCCAGGAGTTCTGCAGAACCGTTCGGATCCTTCAGGTCCAATCTGGCACCGCTGCTGGTTCTGCTGGGTTCTCTGGACCACTGGACCGGTTCCCGGTTCTGAACGTTCTGAATGAAGGAGGGACAAGTTCGGTTCTGACCCGGTAAACACGTCGGTTCCAGTGGAGACCCCCGAAAACACCCGAACCCCCCGCAACCCGTTATGAAGCCAATTCAGAACCCCGCACGAATCTCTCCAGAACCCTGTGACGTCATACGCTGTTGACGTCACGCGGGACGTGAACTCACCTGCCGTAGGTTCGGAACTCGGATCCAGTTTCAGTCCAGCTGATCAACAGCTGCTTTTTCCTCCTTTAGCCCCGCCCTCCTCTAGCTGACGTCAACAGCTCTACACCAATCAGACCGCATCCGCTTCTGGCTCCTCATGAAGGGAGGCTGTGGTGCGTTCAGGGACCGCAGGAAAACAAACGACCAGCAGAACTGATGTTACAGAACCAAAGTTCTGTCTTTAGTCTTCCTGCCGTTCTGTTGGATCTGTTGTTTATTAAAGGATAGTTTCGGTTCTGATCGGTCGGTTCTGATGATTTATGGGTCAGAACCAGGACACTGTGTTCACTGAACATGATTTTATTTCCTACTAGTTCTGGGGTCATCAGTGATCGGTTCTGATCCAATCAGCTGCTCTCCTGCTGACTCAGCATTTTTTCTGCTGAGTCAGCGTTAGGAAACAGCAAACCTCCGACGTAATGTGGGGCAGAAAGGTCAGGAGGTCATGATGTAAGCGGTGGGTTGCGGAACCGGCTGGAGTCCAGAAATCCCACTGGACCTTCATCTATTTCTACTGGGAAATCTGACTGGGAGGAGGTCAGACATCCCATAATAGAGCTGCTCTGTAACCACAGCAGCATGGTTCTGGTTCTGGTTCTGGTTCTAACTGACGATTCCTGTTTGATCCCGGTTCACATGTCAAACAGAGCTCCAAGATCTTGACTGGTTCTGGTTCTGATCCCAGTTCTGTATCTTCCTCATCTAGAACATCAACAACATCATTCACCAAAGGTTCTGCTTCACTGAGGAGAACTGGCCAAACTGGACCTGCAGCGCTATCAGAGAGAAGATCGGAACCAGGCGCAGCTCAAGATCTGCTAACTCAGAACCACCAGAACCACTCAGAACAAACACCACCTTGAGAACCAATCAGAACCAATCAGAACCACCATCAAAACCACCAGAACTACTAGAAACAATCAGAACCACAAGAACCAATCAGAACCATTAGAACAACCAGAACCCCACTCTCTGCACGGTCTAGTTAAAGCATCATGGTACCGACCCGCACAGGCAGCAGTGAAACCAGAACCAGAAGTGGTCTGAGCAGCAGAATGTGATCGGACCAGCAGAACCGGTTCTGCTTCATGTTTTCATCAGACTGCAGCTCCTTCACCTCACATCCTGCTCCAAACTGACCAGAACCCTAGAGTCCACTGGGCCAACTCAAAACCTGTCAGAACTTCTATTGTTGACCGTTTTCCACAGGTTTACAGATTTTATGGAATCAGAGACATTTTTATTTATTTTCCTTCATAAGAACCTAAAAACTCCTCTTGAGGTTCCTGGTGAAATGAATCAAATATTAATGATGTAAAAGCAATTTCTGCAGCAGCAGCTCCAAGGTTCTGATGACCTCTGGACCGCTGGTCTACCTGCGTTTTTACTCCGTAACGGTGACGTAATTTTCTTCAGAAAACTTCCAAGTTCTTCTCTGGTCTCCTGTAGTTCAGACCTGCTGTGTTTTAGTGCCCTCCAGCGGAAGAATTGTGCTCTGCACCACGTTCCAATCAGAATTCCATCAAGTCGGCAGCAGTGACAGCAGCACACCGGAACGGGTTGCTTCTCCTACCAAAATAACAGCTGGCAGGGTTTTAATCTTTCAGTTCAGTTGCGAAGATTCTCAGTGAACTCATCAGTTAGGACCTGTTCATCATTCTAACTGGCTAAACTGGTTCTGTCTGGAGAACCCAGCATAATACCAATTTAAATAATGCTTGCTCAAATATGTTAATTTCATCCATTCATCCATTTTCTGTACACCCTAACCCCACGTAGGGTCGGGAGGTGCTGGTGCCTCTCCAGCTAACGTTCCGGGTGAGAGGCGGAGTACAGCCTGGACAGGTCACCAGTCTGTCGCAGGGCAACACAGAGACAGACAGGACAAACAACCATGCACACACACACACACCTAGGGATAATTTAGAGAGACCAGTTAACCTGACGGTCATGTTTTTGGAGGAAGCCGGAGAACCCGGAGAGAACCCAGCATGCACGTATCTTCTTACTCCAATAGGTATGACTTTATACCATATAACATATCAGTTACTGTACAGTCATAATAAAGTTTAATTTAGTGTATTAAATTAACATATTGGGCTGCACAGTGGCGCAGTTGGTAGAGCTGTTGTCTTGCAGAAAGAAGGTTCTGGGTTCGATTCCCAGGGTCTTTCTGCATGGAGTTTGCATGTTCTCCCTACTGAAGACATTAAAAAAATATTATGAACCAAATAAAACATCTAAAGTATTTTATAATAATTAACGTAAAAAGGTAAACTTGATGAAGGATAAGTTCAACAAAATGATAGAAGAAAGAAACCATGAAATCGGCCGAAAAACGGAGTGTTTTGTGTCTTATTTTGAAATCAGACCGGAAGTCAGTTTGTGTGTATGTAATCTTATTTTTGCTCCGGTCAGTTCGGGTCTCGGTTCTCTGGGTCAGCAGCTCCGCTAACTCTGCCCCTGGTTCGGTTCTGTAACGGTTGACTCAGCTCCAGTATCTCCTTCATGGAGGACCCGTGAGGTTCGGACCGGATCGGAGCAGAACTTTCTGTGGGTAAGTTAGTCCCAGTTAGCGGGATGGTTCTTCTGTCCGAACCAGCCGCAGCTAACGGCGCGGATATAAACCTCATAACTTTCTGTCTCGGTTTGCCTCGCGAGCCTTTTGTTCCTGCGGCTCGCGCCTCCGTTCCCATGGTGAAGCTTCTCCGGCCCGCGAGGCTCTCCGAGCAGAGCCGAGGGCTCTCCGGAAACAGACGAGCGACCGAGGAGCGGACTCGGTTTTTATTCTGAAATTAGCACCACAGACGGATTCATTCAATCTGGGTTCAGAACTGTTGGAACCGTTGGAAGAGAACCGGGTCACTAGAACCGGGCATGACATAAAGAAGCCTTAAGACTTTGATTTGAAGGTCAGCTGCGGTGCTGATTCTGTAGCTGAAGAAATTCGGTCCAGTCTGGTTCCGTTCAAAACACCAACTGGTCCAAACTTTTCTATCTCGGGAAGTCCAGTTCCTCCTCCGGAACAAGCGCGTGGCGACAGTGGAGAGAAACTACTTCCTGTTAACCTGAAGACACTTTTAGCAGATCCAGAACAGAGTTCAGATAAGACACAAAGCATCTCTGGTTTTCATTCACTGGTCTGTTACTGGGACTCACTGGTTCTGTTGTCTTGTTGACAGGAAGTGATTTTTTTTCTGCGTGTTTTCGTTGGTCTCGTTTTTTGGGTCGGTTCAGTGTGTTTGCTGTTTGTGGACCTGGAGTTTTTTGGAACCTGGTTCTGATCCCTGATGGTTCCCACTGTTAGAACTCTGATGGAACCCGGACTGAGGACTCATCCCTGAGGTACTTCACGAGCTTCACAGGTTCTGGAGGTTCTCAGGCTACATGGGAGGACTCGGTACCAGCCTTTTGGACCTGCTGTGACTCTGTTGGTCAGATGACGCCACGGTCTGCTCCCACCAGGTGTGACATCACAGTGTGATGCGTCCCGATGGAGGAGGCGGAGCCTAGCTGCTATGTGACCCAGCTGAGGGCGGAGTTTGACGGCTGCGACTCGACAGCGACGGGTTTCCTGGACCGGGAGGAGCTGACCGAGCTGAGCAGGAAGCTGCAGCTGGACGAACATCTGCCGCTGCTGCTGGACACGCTGCTGGGGGAGCGTCCCCACGGCAGGGTAACCGGTTCTACTGGACCAGAACTATTGGTTCTGCAGGGTTCTGCTGGGCTCAGTCTGGGTTCTGTTTGTGTTCCAGGTGAACTTTGATGAGTTTAAGAATGGCTTGGTGGTGGTTCTGTCCCACTCTCTGGACTTCAGCACCTCAGAGGACGACAGCAGCTACCTGGAGCCAGGTGAGACACTGCAGGGTCCAGTAGTCACTGGTTCTGGTTATGGTTCTGGTCCAGCCAGATGACCTTCCCCCTCCTCCTCTTCCTCCTGCAGCTGTCCCGCAGGAGGTGAAGCCAAAGTTTGTGAAGGGAGCAAAGCGTTATGGCCGCCGCTCTCGACCCGAAACCCAGTCCAGTACCAGCCTGGACTCGACCCCGACCAGAACCAAACCCGTGGACCTGAACCTGGATTCGTCCCCACGTGTCCGCAGGGCCAAACTGAGACGGTCCACGTCTCTGGAGAGCATGGAGGTGAACAGGCCAAGGTTCATCGTTAGCCTTCGTTAGCATGTTAGCCTCTGTTAGCTTATGTTAGTCACGCTTAGTCTATGTTAGCATGTGTTAGCCTCTGTTAGCCTATATTAGCTTATGTAGCCCCTAGCAGAACCCAAGTGTGGGTGGTGGTCGGGTCCCCTCTTTCCTTAAAATGTTTAATAAACCTGCAATTGAACTAGCAGTTATTATTGTTGCTGTGGAGATGGTCTACTGCAACAATAATAACTGTTGAGGCTAACACTGATGCTAATACTGATGCTACCTGGAATCATATGTTTTCAGAAGGTTTTCTTTTATTTAATCTGTTTGAACTTCTGGAACAGTCAGCTGCTCTGGTAGCCTTAGCCTTGGCCCTGACATTAGCATTAGCCCTACCTTTACCTTTAGTTTCAGCTTTAGTTTTATGTGCGTTCAATGTATAATCTGAACTCAGAAATATCTAGTGGATGGCCGCTGAAGTTGGACCTCCCACTCAGAAACTTTTAAAGTTGACTTTGCATTTCAATATGGCCGCTCCTCACATCAGCAGCAGGAAGCTGTGGTGGAAACGTCTAAAACCAATGCTACACGTAGCGCCTGCAGCTCTCAACTGAACTAATTACACTGGTGATGTTTGGAAGAGATTCTGCGAACAATGGCTACCTGGGCGTCGCCATGGTAACTTGAATGTTTTTACTTACTGTGTGACGTAATATGCTCCAAGTTCCAACTTTTAGCCCTAGCTTTGGCTTCAGCCTTAGCATGGTGAGTGTGAAGAGTGTTTGGGTGGGTTTTAAGGTCTTTAAGAGACCTTCATCAGAGTGTTGGATCTCTGAAGACTCTCAGCTTCCTGTGGTCCACCATCAGGAGGTTCATTAGAGTCAGTGAGCCAGTTCTGTTCTGGTTCTGGTTGCAGAGCTCGGCAGATGAACTTGGATCAGGAGCGATTAGCAGCCACTGCGTTGCTGCAGCAACAGGAGAGAGGAAGATTCCTGCAGCTGGAATACCTGAGGGGGTTGGTGGGTTTTTCCTCAGGAAGTGGGATGGAAAGGAACGCTGGAGCCACAAACCGCTATGACCTTCATCCTCCTCTGGGTCAGACTGACAGAACCAGAACCTGTCCAGTTCTGGTTCCACTTCTTTAACTGAGGTTCTGGAGGTTCTGTTGAGTTCATGTGCTGGTAGAACCAGAAGGTTCTGGTTCGGTCCACCTGCTGACAGGAAGTCATGTGACTCTTGGCAGAAGCCCATTGGTTGGTGCTGGGTGTGGTTTCCATGGTTACCAGTTAAATGCATGTTGGTAGGTCAATAAAAATGAAATCGGATAAAGTTCTGGTTCTGGTGCAGCATCTCCACACAGACTTTAATCTGAACCAGGAACAGCTGCTGTAGAACCGGACCAGAACCAGATCAAATCCTCTCAGCAGTGTGTGTGTGTGTGTGTGTGTGTGTGTGTGTGTGTGTTCCTCTCAGTCTCTGTTCATCCAGCAGAACTAAATCTGTTCAGGAATTCCTTATGATTACAGTTTATCCTGCTGTTGGGACTCACACACTCTGAACACACACTGATTCCTCTCAGCTCCATGTTTTCTCTGCAGAGCCTGAAATCTGATGAAGAGACAGGAAGCAGCAGGATGGACCAGCAGCTCTTTCACATTAAAGGTACTCTGCACTAGAAATTGGAACCAGAACCGGGTCTGAGGTTCTGACTTAAAGCTGCAGTGTGTTTTTGCATATTAGCTCAAACTGTCTCCATGTTGTGACAGTTTGTAATGAGAACAGATTGATGCATCTGAAAAATGCACCAAAAACAACCAACCAGAGCCAGGAGGCGGGGCTTAGGACTGCCAATCACCCTCATGTGAGGGTTAGCACCATTAGCACCATGTGCTAATGGTGGAGAAAGAACTTACCAGTATACGGAAACTGTTTATCTGCTTCCATGCTTACTAACTAGCCTTAGCATTCATAACAGGCTATGCTAGTTGCAATTAGCATGGAGGACGGTTGACGGCACTAAGACCCTCCTCCTGGCTCTGATTGGTTGTTTCTAGTTAGCAGTGGGAAGGCAGAGATCGATCTGTCTCATGACAACCTGGAGACGGACTGAACCAATACGGGAAAACTTTTTCTATAGAAGTTACACAGCAGCTTTAAATGCTGCCGTCTCTGCAGCAGATCAGCAGCAGGATGCAGGAGGGAGAGCAGGAGGATGTGATGTGGCTCCAGTATGTGATCACCTGGACCTGCAGGTAGCTGGACCTCCAGAACCAGAGCCAGAAGCAGCTGAACCAAGCCTGATGATCCCACTGTGTCTGCAGGACGCCCAGCTCCAGAGATTAGACGCTAACCGAGATGCTAATCTGGACACTAACCAGGATGGACGGGTTACCATCAGGAAGTTTCTGTGGAGCTCAGCCCCCACGCTAAGCTCCACTCCCATCCGGTCAGCTGACCTGCAGAGGGCGCCACTCTGGGTAAAATTATGTTCTAAGAATATTCTGTTCAGATACGAGGAGTAGAAAATAAACAGATAATTTAGATAAAAGCGATTTATAATTAGAAAATTTTAACAACGACCTAAATTAAAGACTTCAACAGAAACAACAGCAGCCATGCTGGGCAGTAGCGCCACCTTCAGCTCTGGAGTGCAGTGACAATATTAATGATTGTTTAAAATTAAGACTTTTTAAATAATGGAAGTAGAAAAAAGTCTACACTAAAAATGAAGTTTTATTATAAATAACAGACTTCAATCAATTACCACAAGAAAAGCAACAATACAAAACTTTATTTAAAAAACATTTATGATTCTAAACAGGGTCATTTTTCCCATTTCTGTTAGAATGACTTTTTTTTTAATTATTACTGATAATCAGTGGTGGCATAGTTAATTTGAAAAAGAAATTTTAATCCGATTACTGGTTACTCCTTGAAAAAGTAACTTAGATTACAAGTAACTTTTGAGTTACTTTCAGCATCAGTCAATGTAAAATTACACTGAGTTTTGCCAATACTTCTGTAATCGCCATTTATTTTATAAACATCAAAAATGTGTCTCATTGTTGAACTCACGATATAATGAGCGTTTAAGTTTTCATGGATTTCCAAACAATCCTGAATTAAGAAGATGGTGGCTTGTAAATATTCGTTGCTACCAGTTAAAGCTAACGCCGCACAGTAAAGTTTGCAGCCTTCACTCCGGATCAGCTTCTTCAGCCTAAAACTACCGGAGGAGACGGATGGTGAATAAAGGAGCCTCCCTGAGTTATTTCCATGGAGTCACTTCTGTATTCAGCCTGAAAGAGTTTATGGGAACCAGAGAGCAGAGCTACTGATCCGCCTGAACACACTGCAGTAAACACCGTCCTACCTGAGCTCTGAACAAGAAACATGCAAAGGTAATAAGACTAAATAACACGGACACATATTTTTATAAAAGCAGCAACTTTGAACCTTACCTGGTCTCTGCGACTAACGACAATGAACACATATAATGTACCGTATGTTCCGCACTATAAGGGGCACCGGATCATAAGGCGCACTGTTGGCTTTTGAGGAAATTGAAGGTTTTTAGGTGCGCCTTATAGTGCGGAAAATACGGTACTTGAAAATAAGCACAAAATAAGATAAAAACAAAATAAGATAATAACANTCCTCTGAACAGTTCCTCTGACCAGTTCCTCTGAACAGTTCCTCTGACCAGTTCCTCTGAACAGTTCCTCTGAACAGTTCCTCTGACCAGTTCCTCTGCGCTCCTGCAGCTCTACAGTCTGGCGTCTCGCTCCAGCAGCCTGAGCGGCCATAAGGTTCAGTTCGTGGCGTTCCCGGCGGCTCTCGCCTTCAGACACAAGTTCATCTACAGGAGCCCGGAGCTGCCAAACATCCTCAGGTAGGTTCTGATCCCACCCCGAGGGTTTGACTGGACCCTGGTTCTGTTTGGTTCTGACCCGTTCTGATTGGTTCCAGTGACTTCCTGGGAGCAGCTCACCCCGCTGTGGCGTGACGACGGCTCTTCTTCATGGTTTGAACATTCCTGTTAGCATTCCCAACATCCCAGCTGACGGTACGGCTACCACGGTTACCACTGCTACCACTGTTACCATGGTTACCACAGTGACCGTGTCCCCTGGGCTGCAGAGCAGAGGTTTTGTTTCTCACCTGCATGGTTCACTCCTCCTCACCATCGGCAGGAAACTGTTTCCTGTTCTGACTTGAAATATGAATTAAATCTGGTTTTATGTAGCTGAGCCTCCTTCACTGACCTCTGGGTGGTTCTGGTTCTGGTCGAACCGGACCTCATCACTCCTACTCCTCCAGATGTTCAGCAGATTCTCTCCTCTCAACAGTTCTGGTTCTGCAGGTTTGAAGAAGCCGGTCCGGTTCTGGTACCGATTGCGCACCAACAGGAAACAGGAAGTGATGTCACTCTTCCTGAATGTCTCTAGCTGATTAAGAAGCTAACCTGAACCCGACTGGTGCTGGTCTTCAGCTGTTTCTGACCAGCGGTGTGCATGCTTATGCTAATCCACAAATAGTGGAGCTAATTGTTAGCTTAGCATTTATCCATTATGCTAACTTTGAAAATATTAGCACACTTAGTTTCCCTGAAATTAATTATCATCAATTTACTGTTTTGGTATCAGCTGCTAAAAATTCTTCCTGTAGTTAAACGGATATTCGTCCTCTTATTTTGAAGGGGTTGACACAATTCTGTTTCCTTATCTCACATCTCTTTTTTTTTTTTGGCTCTAGCGGCCTTTATTTGATAGTTAATTGACACGAAAGTGGGTAATGAGAGAAAGGGGAAGACATGAATCAAAGGTCACCAAAGCCAGGAATCGAACCTGCGACAGCTGCATCGAGGACTAAGGCCTCCATATGTGGATTGTGCTTAACCCCTGCGCCACCACCGTACACTCACATCTCTTGTTTTTAAGGAACTTTATTGAGCAAACAGGAAGTAAACGAACAAATCAAGAATACAATCAGGATGTTTAACAAATACGCTAGCTACTCGCATTTTAGCTTCTGCTAAACGCCATATTGACGTAGCGATTTAGCATCAGCCGAACTAATGTTCATGACTGCTGCTTCAGGATTAGCGCAGCTAGCTTTTTAGCTAGCAGTCTGGTACTACTACTGGTTTGGTGCGTTGGCCTTTAGACAACCTGACTGTTCTTCATGCTGAAGCTCAGAACTTTTTCTGATTTGGTCCCAAACGGACTCTGAAGGTTCTAAGCTGTCTGCTGCTACAGCAGAACCAGTACCAGTTTAAAACTGAACCTGGGCTGACCTCAGAGCTGGACTCTCCAGTGAACCTATAAAACCTGACCAGAACCAGTCAGATTTCATGACAGGTCCACAGGTTCATGAGTCCAGAACCTGTGGAGGCTCTGGACCTCAGTTTGACCCCAGATTCTGGAGTCAAACTAAGCAGAACCACACAGAACCTTTGTTCTAGTCTAAAAAGTCATTGTATTCTATTGGACCAATCAGAACATGTTGGCGGTTCTGGAGAGTTCTTCCTCTCACTGTCACCAACAGCGGTTCTGGCCGGTTCGGATTTAAATTGTGCACTGATGCATTCTGGGAAAACCAGACTACAAAATGTGACAATGCCCTGGTTTGTGTTCAGTTTATTTTATTATTTCAACAAAATTATAAGCAGGAACAGAGAGGAGCAAAGTTCAGCTGAGCGGTTCTGATCCGTCTGGAGGGAACTCCACCGTCTCTGGATCTAGGTTCTCTGTGAAAATGGGTCAACGTATCAGAACTGAAAGACAATCTCTGATTGGCCAGTTTCCAGTCATTTTCAGGCTTGAAACTTTAGAAATGTAATAAATGTTTGTTTCATAATCAACTCTGATCTGAATAACTGTAAGTGTAAGTTTGATTTCACAGATTTAATGTTGGGGGAGAGCTTTGGGTCAAATCTAGAACTGCTCAGTGTTTATGTTTCGGATTGTTCCTGAAAGCATCACCGGATCCTCCCAAGTCCACCTCGCTGCAGCAAACAGAAAGGGGCGGGGACGGACCACTGTCAGCCTCTTACCTTATTTGGAAATGGGACCATTGCACTCCGGAAGTGAAGGGGGCGCTATTTCCTATATTATCCGCGGTCTCCCGTTTTAATTTTCTTTGTAAATCTGTGGTTTAACTTCATCTTTAGGAAGGAGTTTCACTCTCAGCATGTATTTGAACTTTTCTCTTTTATTTACTTCAGCGCAGCTCACAGTTTTTAACAATTTCCGTTGCTTTCTGTGTACTTCTAAATCTGCTCCTTTTTCGCATCTTTTCGGGCCTGCTACTGCCTCTAGTGGCCTGGGGGTGGTAGCACAACTAATAAATACATTACTAAATCAAAATACCAAAGTCTTATTTATTATTAATTCTGGCATTACTGGAACCTCAAAAGATAAAGTCCCTCACAAAACACCATACCTTTTAATTTTCTTAAGGAAGCAGAGCTAATTAAATGACAAACAATACCTGAAAGTGGTTCCAGTTTCACTCGATGTTGAAACTATGGCAAGTTTTAAATACCTTGGATCATTCCTGGACAGTCAGCTCAATTTTGCTGAAAACACTGGCTACATTTTTAAGAAACGTCACTCTATCTTTTAAGAAGACCCAGTGATCTTGGGGTTACCTAACAAGTGCAACTCGTGCAAAACCTCTAGTTAGTTAGAGGTAACATTAGCTAACATTACCTCTAGTTAAGTAATGTTAGCATTTTAACAATGAGTTAAAACTTAAAAATTTAACTTAAGTTTTAAGTCATCTCAAGTTTTAACTGTTGAGGGCTTTAGCTTTTCATCTCCTCGGCTGGTTTGGTCACATGAGCTGCAGACTAACAGACAATCTTTTAAGAATACTTGGAAAAATAGTAGGTAAATGGTGGTGAAACCAATAACAACTCTATCTAAACTGTTTAGAGCACCCATCCTCTTTTCTTCGTCAGTTTGAGCTCATGAAGGCGTTACTGTGTTCCTCTGGTAACTATAGAACATCTATTAGACGTCATTCATTGACAGTGCAATAATTATTCTTAGCCAAATTAAATGATAACATTTACCTGTAGCATGCTAAGTGTTTACTTGATGCACAAATTGTTGATATTGTGATTCTATTAATGAGTTTTATTTTATTGTTTTAGAGTCAAAGAAAAATTTCCACCTTGGAAGACTAAATAGTTTAATCATATTTTTCCTATATATAGGACTTTACCAACAAAACAAAAATGTGGATTATTGCTTGTTTAACAACCCTGGCTATTCGTCTGTGAACCTAATTAATTTGTTCGTTATTGACTTTTGCTCAATTAAATTTCTTATGTATACATTGTTATGGCATTTTTATTGTTGTTGATAATATTGTTTTTCATGTCTTATTTCTTTTCTTCCTTTTATAAGTGATTTAGATATATAGATGTTATTTATAATGTATAAAGGTGTTGTTTATGTCACCTAATTAGCTCTACATCCTGAAGAAAAATATGGTATTTTAGAAGATAATTTATCTTTCACGTTGCCAGAAATGGCGAAGTTAATAGTAAATAATAAAGATGTTGTGGTATTCTCGTTTAGTGACATAATTATATTAGTTGTGTTACCACCCCCACGCCACTAGAGGCAGTAGCAGGCCCGAAAAGATGCGACTAAGAAGCAGATTTAGAAGTACACAGAAAGCTACGGAATTTGTTAAAAGCTGAGAGCTGCGCTGAAGTAAATAAAAAAGAGAAGTTGAAATACATACTGAGAGAGAAACTTCTTCCTAAAGATAAAGTTAAACCACAGATTTAAAAAGAAAATTAAAACGGGAGACCGCGGATAATATAGGAAATAGCGCCCCTTTCACTTTCGGAGTGCAATGATCCCATTTCCAAATAAGGTAAGAGGCTGACAGTGGTCCGTCCCCGCCCCTTTCTGTTTGCTGCAGCGAGGCCCTTCTCGATCCTTCTGCTGAACATGAACAGGTTTGCAGACCCCGCAGCGCCTCCTGCAGGTTCCTCACCTAATGGCCTGGGAACAAACACTGGGACCGGATGGATCCCGGAAACAGGAAGGGATGCAGTTTATCCCATAGACATAATATAAGGGGAGGCTCTCCTTATATTATGTCTGTGGTTTATCCAGCAGAGGGCAGCGCGCTCACACAAACTACCGCTTACCGTTTGTAAAGTTACCCAGTCAAAAATTAACTGAATTAAATTGATAATTTAATCTGGAATGAGATGAAAACATGAGGGAGGGTTATTAATTCACTACTAAACCAAACCAAATACTTAAATATTTAGTTTAAAGCGAAATATTTAACTTGCTAATAAACAATTTAGCTAGCTAGTTAACTCATTAGGTTGCAAATGCAAAAATTCAAGCTGAATATTTTGCTGATAAACTAAATAACTGAATAACATGGTGGAAATATGACTTTGAAAAATGAAACTTGTGCTTTTCACTGATAGATTAAATTATCTAAATTATTGCAGCTAATTTTTTACTGTTAACTTTACAAGCTACTTTACAACTTGTAGCCATCAAACTCACTAATTACTCCTAAAGCTATCACAAAACAGAAACATATGCTTTTTTAAAAAAGTAAAATATTTATGTGACATATAAAATGTCCTAGATGAATAACAAATAACCGGAGAGGTTATTATGGTTTCAGGACAACAAAGTCAGAACCGCAGCTAGCTAGTTGGGTTGTCCAGTTCCGGTTCTCTAATTCCGGGGAGACAAACTTCCATACTCTCTAACAGCTATTCAAGAAACTTTAGTTATTAGGATTTAATAAAAAACAGCAACAACAATCAGAGAGGCACTGCAAGCTGGTGTTGGAGTAAAACAATGTTAACTGGTCTAACTGGGTATGGAACGATGTGTGTCCCAAAATGTGCAAACAAAATAAATAGAAAAAATCCTAATAAGGTCATAAATATGACCGCGGATTTATGGCTCAGAAATAAATCCCGAATAGTGGGTCGATTGTGGAGGGAAACTCAGTGGGTCAGAACCGAGTCAAAGGCAATGCTACTGAATACATGCAAAACATAAAATATAATTATTCTGTTTATGAAACAGAAATAATTTTATTCCCGAACAGAACCGGGAGAACGTTCTCTGACTGTCGGAACTTAAGGATCAACGGTTCAGAAGTGAACCGAACGGATCGGACCTGAATGGTTAGGAACCGATCCGAGTGGTTCTTGTCTCAAACTGATCATCAGAACTTTAGAGATTAAATCAAATGAGATCTAAAAGACGAGATTTAAAATAAAAACTCTGGACCACCGGTGGAAGACAGAGACAGCTGGGCGTGGATCGGAGTCTCCGGTTTTCTCCGCGGACTCCGGGCATCCAGAGCCCGCGGAGGGCCTCCAGAGGGCGGCCCGAGGAGCGGCAGGGCTCCGGGAGGAGCGAGCCGTCCAGGTAGAGCGGGAAAACACGGAAGTTCCGCCCACTGGGGGAGGAAGGGCGGGGCTAAAAGTGGTTTGTGGAAAAAAGACCGAGAAACACAGGAAGAGGTCTCACTCTGCTGGTTTTTCTCGTTTGTCTTTTAATCCCGAGATCTACATTCTTAGTAACTCCAAAGAAAGATGGTTAATGAGCTGAACTTATGGAGCGATTTCCAGTCATTATGACCAACAACATGCTTTTACACTTTGGGTGTTTAGCAGCAGCATTAGAAGAGTCTATGTTGGACATCCAACTGTCTCTACTGCACACATTTATGCTTATATGTGATCAAATCTACAACCTTGATGGTAATAAATGCTTATTTTGTGGAAAGAACACAGAAACAGCAAATTGTGTTTTCTACAAAGCTAAAAAAAACAAACAAAAAAAACATCAAATATCTTTGGAATAAGGTGGATCAAACCAAACATAAACCTTCCTGAATCTGTGTCTAGAGATATAATAATATTTGGTTATTATAGAAAAACAAAACTTAGTGGTAATCTTATGATTTAACATTTTGTCTGGTGAAATTCTTTATTCACAAACAGAAGCGTTAGCACTGCTCATCTCCAGTCTTTAACATCTCTTATCTGAATCCCAGTTTTGTTTTAAATCTTTAAAATATACTGCTCAAAAAAATAAAGGGAACATTTCACTTTAATTTTGTGTGTGGCTCCAAATCCAGGCCTCCACTGGTTAATAAATTTGATTTCCATTGATGATTTTTGTGTGATTTTGTTGTCAGCACATTCAACTTTGTACAGAACAAAGTATTCAATGAGAATATTTCATTCATTCAGCCTGCTGCTGTTTCAGTTTTTATTTTAGTTTTCGATTTGTTTCAATTTCAGTTTTGCTTTAGTTTAGCTTAGTTCTTTTTGGATAGTTATTGTTGATCAAAAGTATTTATTTATTTTTTTGGTTTTGTTTAGGGAAGGGGAGTTTCTATTGAGGCCCCCTGGCTTGTTTTAAACAAGGACCTCTGCTGTCCCTGGGTCCCAGGCTGTTTTATTTAGATCAGTGTTTCTCATCCTGGTCCTCAGGCCCCCTGTCCTCCATGTTTCAGGTGTTTCCCTTCTGCCACCTGGATGGTATCTCTGGGTGATTAACAGGTTTCTGCAGTACCTGATGGTCCTGCAGTCATTTGGATCAGCTGTTCTGGAACAGAGGCTCATCTAGAACATGCAGAGCAGGGGGGCTGAGGACCAGGGTGGAGAAATGCTGGTTTAGATTGAGGAAGGAAAGTTTTTCTTTTCTTTGCTGTATTCACCAGGGATTTTTGTGTGGGTGTGTTTTTGTTGGGGAACATGTAGGTGCCTTTATTTATGTTTGTGTTTTCTTTATTATTATTATCCCCCCCCAAGCAGTCTAATTTTATTTAATTAGGTTTTAACTATTTTTCAACTTTAAGGTTCCCAGGGCCAGCATAGACTCTCACTTTTAGTGTGGTCATTTCTGTACAATAAAATAAATTGTGACTACATTTGAACTCAATAAACTATGTAATTTTCAGCAGTGCCTCTGCTAATCGTTTTACAAACTTACCTGTATGATCTGGTAAAAGGTGATCTAAGGTTCTCTCCTCATAGTAAAAGCTGTAAGGTCACAATAGAATCAATTAACGCCTGTTAATTATTAAATGACGTAGACGCTGTTATTTATAGATTTCCACATTTTCATACTCCTTTGGAAATGTTTTGGTAAATAAAGTTAAAAAATAAAATGTGGGATCAAATCCTGAGCGTAAAGGAGATGTTGATGAGGTCAGAGGTCAAACCGGGAGTGGCTCATCTCCTCTCAGAGCAGCAGTGACTCTGTGCGTCATGACGTCAGCGGCAGAGCGTCAGCCGCCCTGCTCCTGGCGTGCAGCTTTCAGAATAAAGCGCCTCTCTATCACATGTTCAGGGTCTCGGGTCCGGGCGGTGTTCCGAGTCCAGGTGAGTCAGACCGTTCGGATCCGCTCCTGGTAAACGCGTTACGTGATCCCAGCTGGTTCCGATTGGCGGTTTTGACGTGTTTTGTCCGCAGTAAGGAGTCGTTTCCGAACAGGGTCGGTTCTGATCTGAGCCGCGGACCCAAAAACTGAGCTCAAGTAGGAGTAGCAATACGTGAACGTATTTTTACCAAAACAAGAGTAAAAAGTATCCGTCCAAGAAAGTATTTGGTAATAAGGCGACCCAAGTACTGAGAGAACTTCTATCATTTAATATGTATAAATGACGTCATCATCAGACAGAGCGAATATAAAGTTATGTGGAAATGTTGGGAATCATTTTCTCCAAATCAGTTTCTTTCAGTATAAAACTTATGAAACGAAGCAGAAGTGCAGCTGGTGAATTTTGGGTTAAAACATTTTGTTCTTCATCCAGTGAGCAGCAGGAAATCCACAAACTTTATTCAGTTGAGAGTAAAAATAATAAACTATAAAATTACTCAAGTAAAAGTATATGGTAATGTAGTAAGTTTTTCCCCCCTAAAAAGTTACTCAAGTAAATGTTTCTCTGGGTTATGTAACACAGTAACGCTTCGGTTCTGGTTCTGGTTGAGCAGCTGGTTCGATTTATTTATGTCAGTTTATTTCAGCACCACCGGCTTATAACATAAAACTTACAGTAGGGATGGATATTAAATCAGTAAATATGGTGATAGACACATGATCGATTTTAGATCAGAGGAAGATCAGCTGATTTATCAGGTATAGATCAGTGATTTATTGGAGGTTTGAGTCCAGCTTAACGCCTGTGGATGTGAGGAAAGGTTCATCATATCTCAGATGGATATGATCCATCAAAGGAAACCGTTTATTAATAATCTGGTTCTGATTCAGTCCAACATAAATGATGAAGGTTTGGAAGATCATCATGTTTGTGACACATCAGGTTCTATAGATCTCCTTTAGTGAAACTCAGTGAAAATAAAGTCAGAGGTTATTAAACCCATCAGAGTTATGGAGAAGTATCGTTCTGTCTTCACTCAGCATGAGGTCTGGAGACCAGAGAGAGAGAGGACTGAATCCGGTCTGAGCTAGCTTTGAAGCTACCGGTCTGAGCTAGCATTGAAGCTAATGGTCTGAACTAACTTTGAAGCAACCAGTCTGAGCTAGCATTGAAGCTACCGGTCTGAGCTAGCATTGAAGCTACCGGTCTGAGCTAGCATTGAAGCTACCGGTCTGAGCTAGCTTTGAAGCTACCGGTCTGAGCTAGCTTTGAAGCCAACGGTCTGAGCTAGCTTTGAAGCTACCGGTCTGAGCTAGCATTGAAGCAACCGGTCTGAGCTAACTTTGAAGCAACCGGTCTGAGCTAGCTTTGAAGCTAACGGTCTGAGCTAGCTTTGAAGCTACCGGTCTGAGCTAGCATTGAAGCTAATGGTCTGAGCTAACATTGAAGCTACCGGTCTGAGCTAGCATTGAAGCTACCGGTCTGAGCTAGCATTGAAGCTACCGGTCTGAGCTATCATTGAAGCTACCGGTCTGAGCTAGCTTTGAAGCTACCGGTCTGAGCTAGCTTTGAAGTTATATTCAGGCTAACAGGATCAGAGTCAATATGAAGGTTAAATTTCCCACCATCAGGATCAGGATTTACCAATAAATCAGATAAATTTGATCCAATAATCTGATCCTCAGCTGGACGAGCAGCGAGGATGAGGGTGGCTAAGAACTGCAGCCATTAACGGGGATAATTATTACACCTGAATGAAAGATGGCTGCTTCTCACTCTGAGCTGGGACGAATGTGAAAACTGAAATATTTAGAATCTAATCCTGCAGCAGCCAGAATGAATCAATCTGAATCAGAACTCTGAACTTTATGTGTAGTCTGGAGCAGTCTGGTTCTGGTTCTGCTGACGGCCATGTTGTTTCTCTCAGAATGTCAACGACGTCTCAGAAACACCGCAACTTTGTATCCGAGCCAATGGCGGACAAACCGGTCACAGCGCTGGCCGGGATCGGAGACAGACTGGGCCACAGCCTGACAGAGCAGGGCTACGATAAGGTAGAACCCGACAGAACCACCGACCCGTTCCAGCCCCCAGGGGGCGCTGCCGCTCCAACAGGCACTGTGCATGAACATTTTGTTTAAGATGTGAAGGTCTGACCCGGTTTGAACCCTGGTTCTGGTTCTGAATCATCAGTGCCTGCAGGGATCAGAACCAGGACTGGATCAAGTCCAAATGGGTCAGCCCTGAGCTGAACCTCTGACCCGACTCGGTTCTGTTTCCAGGCCTACGTGGTTTTGGGTCAGTTCCTGTTGCTAAGGAAAGACTCGGAGCTGTTCTGCTATTGGTTGAAGGACGTCACTGCAGCCAATAGCAAGCAGGCTGATGACTGTGCCCAGTGCCTGAAGGACTGGTGCGACGCCTTCCTGTGAGGACGCCACGCCCATTCCACAGAGGCACCGCCCCTCAAGAGGCCCCGCCCCTCCAGTTCCCACTCTGCGTTGCTTTTCTGAGCTGCCAGATTTTCTCCTCCTTATTTTGTAAATGTTTGTCATTAAATCTCGTTGCCCAGATGTTTGTCTGATTCCTGATGAAGGTTGCCGTTTGTCAGAGCTGCAGGTTCAGCAGGTGAGGGGTTCCCTGACAGGTTTGGATCAGAGTTCTGGTACAAAGTTTCAGAACCGTCTGGACGAAAAGAGCCTCAGAGCAGACTGAAGGTTCTGGAGCTCCTCCTTCGACCCCAGAACCTTAAAGATCAGGAGTCTCCCAGTCCCATCCTCACGGGCTGCCATCCTGCAACTTCTAGCTGCATCTCTGCTCCAAGACATGAGTTCCCTCAGCAGCGTTCATTGGGGCCTGCCTATGCAATGCATGGCAGGAACCTACTGTTCTACACCCAATAAGTGGTCTCTATTATTTATGCTTCTTCCGTCACCATTACTGCGGTTCGAACCGCTGCGAGCTCCCCCACAAAAGTGGTATCAAAACATCTGGCTCAATCCCGGGAAGGGAGCTACTACTTTTAGTGAGATTTGGAGTTAAAATGGTGACATAAATTGCAAAAAACAAGGCTGGGTGTCTCATAAGGATATGAGTTTTTTTCAAAGTCTGCCTGACACACACAAAGCACAGTGGATTAATGACTTTAACTCCCCCTCACGGCCACAAATATCACCCTATTGGTCTCAAAGTCGGTCATGACATAGCTACACATGCTTTCTCCTTTTAAACGTTTTTGAAATTTTTCTAGAACAGGGATGTCCAAAGTGGGTCCTGGAGGCCCGGGATCCTGCGTGTTTTATTCTCTCCCTGGTGGTAACAACCTCCTCAGCAGGTCTATACGCTCCTTAGGCCTCTAATGAGCCATCATTTGATCCAGGTGTGTAAAACCAGGGAGAGAATAAAACATGTGGGATGGCGGGCCTCCAGGGAGCTTTGGACACCCCTGGTCTAGGGCTTATGGTTTTCTGTCAAGGTCCTTCAGACCAACGCTGAGTGTCTCACAAAGATAGGAAGTTTTTCTCCACCATTCTGTCTGACACAGAGAGAGCACAGGTGCAGGTAATTAATTACCATAGCAACAGAGCCCAGACAGGGGCAGAGAGCGGTCTCGCAATGCATTGTGGGAAAAATAAATATTTCCTGGGACTATTTCTATTTCGCTTACATAAATTTATTCCTCAGAATTTCTGAATGTGAATTAAAATCCTGAATATGAAGGTTGAAAATTTGCTAAAAGAAACAATTCTCCTCTGTCTTTATTTTTTTTTATTTATTTCGAACCGTGAGATGTGCTCCTGGCTCTGACCAGGCCTGGTTTGTCCAGCCTGGAGGAGGTCAGGTCTGCATGGACATGTTCCTGGTTTAGCATCACAACACTGGGTCCAAACTGAGCACGCTTTGGCAGGCCCCGGTTAAGTTTCTTCAGGAATTTAGTTCAGTTCTGCAATGGGCCGGAACCAAGCCGTTTGTCTGGTCCAGGTGTGTTGAGCAGAGCTGCAGAACGGTAGCCCTTGAGGACTGGACTGGGAGACCCTGGATGTTAGCATCAAAGCTAGCATCAAAAGTGTTAGCTTAGCATCAAAGCTAAGCTAACACCTTCGGAGACAACATGATGTTAAAATCTCCCAAAAACAATCTGATCAATATTTACCAATAAATCAGATTTAAACTTCAGTGAGAAACAAAACAGACTGCAGCTGGTGGCTGGGGTCAAAGTTCACAGCTTTATTCACCAGTCCAAGAGTCCAATTAGTACCAGTTCAGAACCAGACCTGGTCCTGTCTGTTTGCAGACCCATCGGTACCACTCAGCGGTTCTGGTCCAGAACCAACACAGAAAGTGAGGTCATAGGTCACAGCTTCTGTTCGTCTCCATGGCATCTTGATGATCCCGCTGCAGGTCAGAGGTCGCTTCCAGGTTGTTTGAATCGGAGCAGGATGTTGTGTGGAGCCCTTCAGAATAAAAGCATCAGTGTCTCCTGAGGGCCTCCAGGTGCTGGAAGGCGGCGCCGAGGGCCCAGCTGGCCTCCACCTGGCGGACGGTCCGGGCCAGCTGCAGAACCAGAGCACAGGACAGGTTGGTTCCGGGTCAGAACCGGGTCAGAGGGTTGCGGAGCTCGGGACTCACCCTGAGCTGCTTGTGGGACGGGAAGCCGAGTTCCTGCAGCAGAACCGAGATGTAGACCAGGTCCAGACACAGAAAGGGGTTCTGGAGGTCCGGCGGGCCGCGGCACACTGCAGACAGCCGACCAATCAAAGACAAGCAGCAGGTCACATGACTTCCTAGAGGCTTTTTATATGAACTGATGTACAAATTCATCCGGTGTTTTAGAAAACGTGTTTCTGTATTTAATGGCAGTAAAAATGTTCAGAAACAGTTTATTGTTTTTTACATTTCATATAAAAAAGGTTTGGCAGCAAAGTGTAATGAATGACAGCAAACATTTTAATATAAATAAATGTTTAACATTCTGTAAAAATCTGGTCTGCAAGAACCTCCAGGTTCTGGTTCTGCTGGACCCGACTCCTAATTCTGATGATGTTAACAGCAGGGTGTGAAAGCTGCCACCAGGGGGCGCCCTCTCACCTCTCTCAGCAGCTTGGCCGTAGTCTGACACTCTGATGGTTCCACCCGCCGCCTCATCTGCAGAACCAGAACCAGAACGTGAGAAACTAGCACTGATCCAACAGAACCAGAACCCGTCTCATCCTGGGTCTGCAGGAGGTCCGGTCCTCTCCAGCCTGACCTCTGACCTCTGTGCACCACCATGGATCTGCTCATCCTGTCTGCTTTCCTGACCAATCAGAGCGCAGCGTGCGGTAACCAGGGGACTGATCAGGACCAACCGGGTGAAACGATCCAAACGATTCTGAAGAGTTTTAATCCTGGAAGCTGATTGGCCAGAAGCAGCTGCGTTCACAAGGTTATCGACCAATCAGCAGCCAGTTTAACCACTTGGTGTGTTGCTGCTTTACCAGTTTTCAAATATACCCAGGAAATATTAAATCACTCAGCTGGTATCGACAGGGTTTAATATACTCTAAGGTTTTCCCTCGTTTTCAGATTTTATATTGAAAATGTTGATTTTCATTTTGTCAAATGCAATAAGTTTATGAGAAGCTGCTGATCCAGTTATTGAGCCACTAAAAGGGTGAATATCCTTAGAGACTTTAACCAGGAACAAATTAGAAAGATAAGATTGAAATATTTATCTTTTCCAAAATAAAAGAAATGCAATTTAAAACTATAAACAAAATGTATCCAACTAATGACTTCCTGAGGTTTAAAATGGATGTGGATAAATGTGAACTGTAAAATAGCAACTAAAGATTTAGATCATTTGTTTTTCACGTATGAAACTGTTCAATGTTTTGGTAAAGATCTTCACCAGATCATCTGCAGCCACAGTTTAATCAATGACCAGATCATTGATTATTGTGTAAATAATGTTTCATAAGCCAAATATCACATACACAAATGTTGTTTCTTTAAAACCATTTCTAATTTCATACAGTGGAAGAATGAGTTAAATTTGTTTGATAATCTTTGTTTGGTGAAGTCGAAAAATGCTTTGAAGTATTTGTTTGTTTGTTTTTTATGTTGTTTATTTATGTCGCCCTGCTAAAGTCCTGATGTATTTAAGTTGTCTGTTCTGGTTTTTTTACTGTTAGTTTTGTTCTGTTTATGTGTTTACTATGAATTCATGATGTAAACATTATGGAACCTTTATCAAGTTGATTTATATAAATAACGATAATAAAAAAAAAGTTTTTACCAGTTACCCTGCTAGCTAAGCAAAACGTAGCGATGGATGCTAAGATGCTAACGCTAGCAAACCGCTCAGAAACAATATTATCAGGAAACCAACACTAAATCAGATCCATCGCTGCAAATTGAGAATCAATAATCCAAACAGTTATTGATTTCTAATCTCTGATTTCTCTAAATGTTTTATCACTGATTACTTAGGCGGAGCTAAATCAGAGCTCTGGACTCTTCAAACCTCACCAGGATGTTATGGCGATAACAGGCAGATCTAAATGTAGTTTGATTAGCAGACATCACTAGCCGAGCCAGAGCTGCTGCTGCTCTCCGTACCGATGGCCTGAAGGTCGACGGCGCGGTCGTAGTAGAAGGAAAAGGCGTAGAAGTCGACGTCCGCCGCCTCAGGCGCCGCGCTCAACTTCCTGTACAGAACCTTCTGGACTTTGTTCAGGCACGCCTCGTAAACCGGCTCCCCTGGAAACACAGAAAGCACTCAGGTTCCTACCTGCTGCATGCTGGGAAATGTCACAGACCAATCAGATGCCTCTACCTTCCTTCTGGCCCTTCAGGGTGTAGACGATGTCAGCGTGTTCCCAGCTGCCCGAGAACCCTGGAGCAAGGCAAGGGCTGACCCGCTCAGCACTGCCCCCTGCTGCCGGAACACAGAAACACACGCTAGCCTTTAGCTACAGCAGTGGTTCCCAAACNAAAGTTTGCAGCCTTCACTTCCCTCTGGATCAGCCTAAAATACCGGGGATACGGATGGTAAATAAAGGAGCCTCCCTGAGTTATTTCCATGGAATCACTTCTGTATTCACCCTGAAAAAGCGAGTTTATGGGAACCAGAGAGCAGACCAGAGCCAGACAGCCGAGCAACTGATCCGCCTGTACACACTGCTGTAAACACCGTCCTAGCTGAGCTCTTCACAAGAAACATGCCAAGGTAATAAAACGAAATAACACGGAGACATGAAGCAACATATTTTTCTAAAAGCAGCAACTTTGAACCTGAACAGCTGAACCAGATCTCTGACATGAGAGCTGCGCTACTGTTAAGCTACGAGGCTTGTTGTGCTTCGTCGTGCTTCGGAAGTAAAAAGCCCGAACCGTAACCTCCCCCATTAGTCTGTGACACTAACGACAATAAACACACATAATATACTTGAAAATAAGAAAAACATTGTCCGTTAGAATGTTTAGATACTTAAATAGCACATTTTTACAAGAAAAATGTCCTAGAATATTGCCTACTAGCATAAGCTAAAGTTAATGCTAGCCACAAAGTTTAAGGCCAATAAAACTCACCTTTATATCTGTGAATGTATAACGAGGTGTACATCTTAAAACCTTTCTCCAGCTTACTTGTTGGGACTTCGGATCTGCAACTGTAACCTGATTACTGGATTTGAAATAGAAACCCATTAGATTACTCGTTAATCTAATGCAGCGCTTGCCAATTCCAGTCCTCAGCCCCCTGCTCTGCATGTTTTAGATGTGGCTCCAGAACAGCCAATTAAAATGATTGCATGACCATCAAGTGCTGCAGAAGCCTGTTAATCACCCAGAGATGCAATCCAGGTGTGGCAGAAGGGAAACTAACATCACTGCTGGTAATGTATTTTTTTTTCCTTTGTCATGATTTGTTTCCTGTAGACAAATCATGACAAAGGAGGTGCTAAAACATGGAGAAACCCATTAGATTAACGAGGTAACACTAACTGTTAGCTTGGCCAAGCCCTGCAGCTCCGAGTGTAAAATGACATTTTCAACAGACCGAAGCGACCGAGCCGCGTTTCCCCGAACGCGGAAGTTCTGGTCCGGTTTTGATTCCTGATCCAGAACCTCTCTGACCCGGTTATGACATGGAAATGTTTCACTCTGGTCCAGTTTGACTCAATGCTCCTGAAGGCAGCACAGCCTGCTGACCAATCAACAGCTGGCTGCGTGAGCAGGTGGGCGGGGCCAGAAGGAGGGCCAGGTGCTGCAGGTGAACAGGTGTTTCTCCTCAGGCAGCTGCAGTCTGTCATGTTCTGCAGAACCAGGCTGGTGACCCAGCGGGTCGGCATGGACCAGAGTCAGGTGATTGTCTGGGCCCAGCTGCAGAACCAGAACCAGAGGTTCTGCTCAGTGTTTGGGCCGTTGGTTCAAACATGTTCTGTAGAATCAGTTGGATACAATCAGGCGGTTCTGCTTGGGATAATCCAGATTAGCACATTTTATTCCTTCCTCTCTCTCTCCATCCAGAACAAGCAGCTGGTACCGGATGGCCCCGCCCGCTCCCTGCTGTCGGCCACTGTGGGCCCCAGGGTTCTGACCCGGCTGGATGACGGGTCGGGCGGCACCAGCCCAGAGCGAGTGGCGGCGCTGTGGGCCGAGGCGGGCATCAGGAACAGCCAGCAGATCCTGCAGGTGGGTCCAGACCCGGTTCTGTTGGATTACACCAGAACCACAAGAAGAGGAGTCCCAGAACACTCTGTCTGGTTCTGGTTGCTTGCTGACCCGATCCAAAATGCACAGCAGAACCTCAGATTACTCACATTCCAGTCAGATCGGGTCGGGTCGGTACCGAAGGTGTCCCATATTTCTCCATTTGGAAAAACTTGACTGTGTTGAACTGATGCTGATTATTTTAGATCTATAGAAAATGCTAATAGAATGGATACGTTTCCACTGCTCTTCTTGTGTTTTCAATGTATTTTATGTGTAAATAACTTTATATATTTATTACGTTTAATGAAGACAGTCGGTGATCAGCTGGAGGTTAGAGAAGACGTAACAGAACCAGAACCGGGCTCAGTACCATGTGACCCGACTGACTGGAGGTTGGAGAAGACACAGAAGAAGAAGAAGCAGATGCACTGATGTTGGATTATTTAGTAGTAGAACCAGCAGGAGAGGGAGAGCGATTAGGTGATGGCAGCATCATGTCAGCCGCCTCCAGGAAGGAATCAGCCAATCAGAACACAGAGCAGGTGGATCTGCCATGGAGAGAAAATGACAGCAAATGGTGCAAACTGGAGAGTAGTAGAAGAAGAAAGAGAGGAGGAGTGGCCAGTTTGTCCCGCAGCAGCCGGTAGCATCATGACTACAGGAGGAGCTCAGGATGACCCCGGCCAGCAGGCCAGGGATCAGCAGAGGAAAGTTTTAATACGGGAAATATTCAGGGTGTCTTTATTATTATTATTATTATTAATCCTTTATTTATGCAGGAACATCTCTAGAGACTTATTGTCAACAACAAATAACATAATAATAATAATAATCTGACAAACGGCCTAAGAATAAAACTGGCAGCAGATTTTCATTTCATGTCTGTAATCCTGACAGATTAGATTAATCTGGATTTATGGAAATATCATCAGCATAACACTGATCCTGTCTGCTGAACTGGGCTGAGCCCAGAGCCCAGTAGGACTCCACCAGTAACCCAGCAGTCTGAAGAACATTTATCATTCAGGAACAAACTGGGATCAGTGGGACAAATGGGACTAAACCAGTTTACTGCTGTTCCCTTCAGACCAACATGACCCAGATATTCGATCTTAGATCAGAGGAAGATCAGCTGATTTATCAGGTATAGATCAGTGATTTATTGGAGGTTTGAGTCCAGCTTAACGCCTGTGGATGTGAGGAAAGGTTCATCATATCTCAGATGGATATGATCCATCAAAAGAAACCGTTTATTAATAATCTGGTTCTGATTCAGTCCAACATAAGTGATGAAGGTTTGGAAGATCATCATGTTTGTGACACATCAGGTTCTATAGATCTCCTTTAGTGAAACTCAGTGAAAATAAAGTCAGAGGTTATTAAACCCATCAGAGTTATGGAGAAGTATCGTTCTGTCTTCACTCAGCATGAGGTCTGGAGACCAGAGAGAGAGAGGACTGAATCCGGTCTGAGCTAGCTTTGAAGCTACCGGTCTGAGCTAGCATTGAAGCTACCGGTCTGAGCTAGCATAGAAGCTAATGGTCTGAGCTAACTTTGAAGCAACTGGTCTGAGCTAGCTTTGAAGCTACCGGTCTGAGCTAGCATTGAAGCTACCGGTCTGAGCTAGCATAGAAGCTAATGGTCTGAGCTAACTTTGAAGCAACTGGTCTGAGCTAGCTTTGAAGCTACCGGTCTGAGCTAGCATTGAAGCTAACGGTCTGAGCTAGCATTGAAGCTACCGGTCTGAGCTAGCTTTGAAGCTACCGGTCTGAGCTAGCTTTGAAGCTACCGGTCTGAGCTGGCATTGAAGCTACCGGTCTGAGTTGGCATTGAAGCTAATGGTCTGAGCTAGCTTTGAAGCTAACAGTCTGAGCTAGCGTTGAAGCTAACGGTCTGAGCTAGAATTGAAGCTACAGGTCTGAGCTAGAATTGAAGCTACAGGTCTGAGCTAGCGTTGAAGCTAACGGTCTGAGCTAGCTTTGAAGTTACGGTCTGAGCTAGTGTTGAAGCTGATGGTCTGAGCTGGCGTTGAAGTTATATTCAGGCTAACAGCATCAGAGTCATTGTGAAGGTTAAAGTCCCCACCATGATGATCTGATCAGGATGTACCAATAAATCAGATAAATTTGATCCAATAATCTGATCGTCAGCTGGACAAACCTGCATCCAGAACCTTCAATCTGCAGCATTAGTCTGAGCGGTGCCTCCTGCTGGTAGGAGGTCTGGTTCTGTAAAGCTGTGTGTGTGTGTGTGTGTGTGTGTGCCCACGCGCAGAGTCTGGACTTCCCACTGGAGGAGCGGCTCAGCCTATCGGACCTGACCCTGGTTCTGGACAACGAGCTGCTGCTCAGCGCCAACTCTGTTCACCAGGCGGCGCTCATCTCCTACAGAACCGAGATCCAGCACCTGCAGTAGGCTCCAGAACCGGCCGGCCCGGGTTGGCCCGCCCGGACCCGGTTCTGACCCGTCCTGTTTTCCAGGGAGGCGTTGGAGCAGGTCAGCAGGGAGCGGGACAAGCTGAGGTCTGATCTGGACCGGGCCGACCAGCAGAACCTGCAGCTGGTCCGGGAGGCGGACGACCGGCACGCCAGCATGGAGGCGCTCAACCAGAACCGGATCAGGTAGGACCCGGTTCTGGAGCCAGACTGTATGTAACCCATAGACAGAGGAGGTTCTGTAAAGTTCTAGACCCATAAAGCGTGTGCAGGAGGTGAAGGTTGGTTCTGATGGACCCGTTCTGACCCAACAGGGATCTGGAGTCGGACTTCAGGCGGCGAGCTGCGGCGCTACGGCTGCAGGCGGAGCAGGAGAACGAGGCGCTGCTGCAGCAGGGCGAGCGAGAGCGCAGCGTGATGCGGCAGGAGCTGCAGCTGCTGCGGGGCAAGGAGGCGGAGCTTCAGGAGGAGCTGGATGCCACCGCACAGGTCCGTTCTGCTGGTCCTGACCCTGTTCTGCTGGTCCTGACCCGGTTCTGCTGCTTCTGTGCTCCAGGAGAAGCAGCGCCTGCAGCAGGAGCTCGGCGCCTTGCAGTCGGCGCTGAGGGAATCAGACGGTTCTGTTCAGAGGCTGCAGACGGATCTGGACCAGCTGCTGCTACACAAGGTGACCAGAACCAAACCGACCCGGCCCGGCCTGGCCTGTAGCTCTGATCCTGTCCAGCTGATCCGGGCCAGGTGTTGGTGAAACCCGGCCGGGTCTGATTTCTGTTCCCACTCTCCTGATGAATGTTTGATGAGCCTGTGTCTCTGCTGCAAACGGATCAGAACCGTTGGGTCCGCTCCGCTGACTTCTCTGCTCTGAATGTTCTGACAGCTCGGTGGTTTGGATCCGGCCGGTGCCGGACTGAGCCACGAGGAACGGTTCTGTGAGCTTCTCAGAGAGTCGCAGCGCCAGTGCAGGGTAGGAACGGTACCAGTCTGACCGGGCAGAACCTCAGAGCCAGCAGGACGCTCACCTGTCTCTCTGCGTCTGCGGTGCGTTCAGGAGCTGCAGGACAGAAACGACGAGCTGAGCTCAGAGCTGCTGGAGGCCCAGAGGAGCAGCAGGAGGTCCTCCAGGCCAGCGGGGGGCGCCGGCAGCCAGCGCGACGCAGCAGGTACCGCAGGAGCCTGGCCGGGTCAGAACCAGAACCTGTTTCCGGCTCTCTGATTGGCTGATGAAGGAACTAGAACTTTACCCGACCTGGTTACGATTCTGGTCCATTTTTCCAGACGTCCTCCAGAACCTTCAGCTCGGAGTGATGATGGTTCTGGTTCTAACCTGGTCAAACATTCAGAACCTTCTGGACTCAAGCAGTTCCTCCTTCCTGGTTTCTGTCCAATCAGAGAGCAGCATGTTTCTCTCGCTCTCAGTGGGTCTCATTCTGATTGGTTCTGATGGTTCTGGTTGGTTCCGGAGGGACTGGACCTGGAGGTTCTGTTGACTCATAATCATGAGGAACCAGAAGGTTCTGATCCTTTCTGGCTCCGATTCTTGTCCAATCAGGAGCGATGTTGTGCAATGAAATCACCATAGCAACCACTGCCTTCCCTTCACAATAAAAGCTGTCAGCCGGGTTCTGATGGGGGAAGGTTCTGGAAGCTTTGGAACCAGGAGAACGGGTCGGACCGAGCCGCTGAGTCACAGGCTGCCGGAACCAGACCTGCAGGTCTGGCTAAGCCCCGCCCACCAACACACACCTGCAGAGCAGCAGAGTGTGTGTTGGTGTGTGAGCGGCGCCATGTCTCTCAGTGAGTTCCTGTTCTGTTCTGGGTTTGGTTCTGGTTCTGGTTCTGACCCAGTCTCTCCTCTCCAGGTGACCCGGACATGAGGAGCATCCAGTCGGAGCTGGCACTGCAGCAGCTGAAGGAGAGCCACCAGGAGGCGCTGCAGCAGCTGCACATCCAGCTGGAGACCCAGGTACCGGTTCTGCTGCCGGCCCGGTGGTACCGGTTCTGGCCCAGCAGAACCTCTGACTTTTCGTCGTCCTCTTTCTCAGATGAACTACTACGAGCGGCAGCTGGACATGATGAAGCAGAACATGGAGGTGGAGAGGAAGGACATCTGCCAGGCCTTCAAGGTGAGCCGAACCAGAACCAGAACCAGAGGTCCAGCTGCTGCTGCTGCTGCTGATGATGATGTTTCTTCGTCAGGTGGAGATCAGTGAGCTGGAGGAGCAGAAGGTCCAGGTGGAGCAGCAGCTGAAGGAGGCGCTGACCCGCCTCCAGAACCAGCAGGGGGCAGGGCTTAGTGCCGAGGAGCAGCGCAGGTCCGTCCCCTGCTGGTTCCCAGGGTGTCTGCCGGGTCAGAACGCCACAGTGACCCGGTTTTGGTTCTGTTCAGGGTGCAGCGGGAGCGGGCCGAGCTGGAGCAGAACTACGCCAGAGAGATCAGCAACCTGGTGCAGAAGCTGAGCGCCGAGAAGGAGCAGCTGGAGGCGGAGCTTAAGCTGCACACACAACAGGAAGTGATGCGCGTCAGGTAGGTGGGCCAATCACAGATCAGCGTCACATAGCCTCCAGCCAATCACAGTCGAGCTGCCGCTGTGAGCAGGAAGGAGGAGGCGGCCCCACAGTTTGGCCAATCCCAGGCCGGCCTGGATGGGGCGGAGCTCCTGGTCCAGGTGGAGCAGCTGGGGGCGGAGCCGCAGGAGGTTCTGCTCCTCAGCACCGGGTCGGACTCCCTAGACCAGATCAGGAGCGTTGAGACGGTGTTGCGGGAAGCGCTGCAGCAGGAGCAGAAACGGACCTCGCTGCTGCAGGAGGAGGCGACCCAGTTGGGCCAGGAGAACAGAACCTACATGGTTCTGGTGGACCAGCTGTCCTCCCAAATCATGGAGATGGAGGAGGAGCTGTGCTCCCTCAGCGCCGCCGGCCCGGATCTGGACTGCAGAACCTCAGAGCAGATCGACCTGCTGCAACGGGCCCTGCTAGACTCCCAGAACCAGCTGAGCAGAACTCAGCAGAACTTTGAGACGGAGAAGAGGAAGCTGGCCAGGCAGCTGGTGGAGCTAGAGAACCTGGTTCTGGAGCTGGAGGTCCGGACCGACTGGGAGGACCAGGCCGACCAGACTGAACCTCACAGGTGTGTCAGCTACAGTGGACTGGAACCGGGTCTGTATGACCAATCAGGACGCACGGCTCCATCTCTAACCGGCCAATCAGAATGCACGGCTCCATCTCTAACCGGCCAATCAGAACACATGGCTCCATCTCTAACCGGCCAATCAGAACGCACGGCTCCATCTCTGACTGGCCAATGATCTAACTGCATGAATTTCATGGACCAATCACATCCTCTGTATGTGAAGCACTAACTGCTCCATTCCAGTTCCGGTTCAGGTTGTATATCTTCAGGTTCTGTTGGGTTCTGTCCTGCAGGGCCCAGCTGGAGGAGGTCCGGTCGGAGAATGCAGCTCTGCAGGAGAGGCTGAAGGTTCTGCAGCAGACGGTCCAGAACCTGGAGGATGAGTCTGAGAAGAGGAGGTGAGTCTGGGTCCAGGTCCCGGGTTCTGATCTGCTGCCGGTTCTGGAGGAGCCTGACCCGGTCCACTGTTCTGCTGGCAGGAGGAGGCAGCAGGAGGTGGAGGAGGAGCGGGAGAGGAGCAGAGAGGAGGAGGAGCGGCTCCACAGAGAGGTTCTGACCTGGCCCGCATGCTTAGGAAGTGCTGTCAGACTTTCACAATAAAGGTTCTGGAGGCTCCCAGTGAGGCATCAGAGAACTGTTCATCTGAGCTGGGAGGCATCAGAACCTCCTGGTTCTGGTGTTGGAGGCGGTTCAGAACCAGCCTCCAGACTCCTGACCCGCCTTCTCTCACTGCAGAACTCCCGGTACCGTGAGGAGGTTCTGGACCTGAGTGGCAGGAACCTGCAGCTCAGTAGCGACAACGGTGACCTTAGCAACCGTCTCCATAGTGAGCAGGAGACGGTCTGGATGCTGCGCAAGCGCCTAGCAACCGTTACCAAGGAACAGGAAGAGGAGGTGGCTGCTGTGAGTCAGGCTGATTGGCCAGAGTTCAAAGGTTAAAGCTGTTGGAGCTGACAGGTGCTGTTGTTTCAGGTGAGGCGGCTGCAGGTGGAGCTTAGCAGGGTGAAGGCGGAGCTTCAGAAGGTGGAGGAGGAGAGGGAAGAGCTGCAGAAAGACAGGGAGCAGCAGAAACACTATGTAAGATTGGTGCAATAACGCCACCTGCAGCCGGTGGGCAGAACACACCTTACTGTAAGACACGCCCCTTTAATATGAGTGACAACTGCTTAATGAAGCTCAGTTTGCAGAACTAAATGATTTTCATATTTAACTTGATGTTTTCTATCAGCAGTGTAAAATGACAGGATGGCTCTTCAGTGACGTTGAAGAAATGTTTCATAATAACCAATAATAAATATGACTTTTAACCTAAAGTCTTAAAGCCAGCTCAGCGGCCATTTTGTCCAGACATGGCCGCAGGGATTAAACTAGCGGCTCTCAACGTGGGCGGTACCGCCCCCCGGGGGGTGTTCAGAGGACGGCAGGGGGCGCTGGGCGAAATTTTTACAAAATTCTTCTCTGGGGGGCGTTTGGTTGAAGTTCAACTTTACACCTTACAATCACAACAATGCCAGTTTAGACTTTGAGTAACTTGGTAAAACTGTATTGTGTAACATTAAACCATGCTTGACTGCAACTGTATCGATGGCAGCTCTTCTTCTTCTTCTATTCAGTGTTTGTAGCTTGTAGCTCCTGCTACTAGTAGCTTCACCACATCAGTTCAGCGTCTCACCGGCTGATGACGTTGCTGTGATTCACTTTGTCTGGTATTTTTGTACAGATGTTTTTTTC